GGTGCTGGGGATTGAAGCTACAACCATGTATGCTAGGACCTTGTGGACATAGCTTCCCAATGCTAGGGAACGTGGGCTGACTGTGCCTCATCACCAGGATGGAGCCCAAGGGCTGGCGCTGGAGATAGGAGAGAACCGCCTGGTGATGGGAGGCTCCCAGCAACTGTATCACCTGGATGCCTCCATTCCCCTGCGGATCAATACTGAGGCAACCAGGGCTGCTTTTCACCTCAGGAGAAAGGTGCCTAGAGGGGCTTCAGGAAGTGCTGGGATGTAGGGACCTGGAGCCCTGGCTCTGCGGGAGGAGGCATGGACCTGGAGTCCTGGGCTTGAGAGGGGAGAGCCAGCATCTGGAGGTCTGGGTCCTGAATCCTCATTCTCTCTCCTTTCTCAGCAACTGATGGTGTCCATGCCCCTCCTGGCAGCGCCTTCTTGACCAGAGTGTCCTGTATTTCCAGATGTAGAGAAGATGCTGGTGTCTTCTCTAAGTGAAGTGAAATAAACAGATTCCAGTTCTCTCCAGCTCCAGTCAATGATGTGTAGAGGAAGGAAGGGAGGAGAAATGCCAGCTCTGACTCAGTGTCCCCAAAGTCTCTGTCTCTTTCTCACGGCCACGGCCTCCTCCTGAGCATTCTGGATTCCTGTTTTCTGCTTGTCTCCCCTGGGTTCCAGAGCTGACCCTGATTCTTTCCTATCCCATTTCATTATGCCAACGAGAACATCTAGGCATCCAGGCTCAGCTCCGGCCCCTCCTTCCCAGACAAGACTCTTCCCGCACGGGTGTCCAGCAGTCCCCAGAATAAATGTCCCACCATACCACCAACTCTTGCTTCTCCTAGTTCTAGTGCCTTCTCCAGAATGTCATGTGGGAAGTTGCTATATGACTATCCCCAGTACAGTGGGTGCTCTCTTGGGACTGGGACTTGTGCTGTCTGACCTCTAAGCAGTCAAACTCAAGCAGTGTCTCTAGGCTCTCCTGTGCCATACTCTGTCAACTATCCATTCTTGGTGTCCAGCTTCATGTCACAGGTACCCCCAAGTTGAAGTCCCAAATCCCCAAGCCTCACTACCTCCTGGCTCAGCATGTCATGCTCCCTCTTTTAGGACACTCCATTCTACTTCCCAAGAATCTTTCCCCTTTCTGGTGCTGAGGATGTAACCCAGAGTCTGTAATGCCAAGTGTGTTCTGGGCAGGCAGTGGTGGCATTCACCTTTCATTCCAGCACTCAAGGGCAGAGGCAGGCGGGTCTCTGAGTTTGAGGCCAGCCTGGACTATAGAGTGAGTTCCAAAACAGCCAGGGCTACACAGAGAAACACTGTCTCAAACATCCAAACCAAACAAGCAATGCTAGGCATACATTTGTCGTGCCTTTGAGCTATATCTCAGGGCACCCCCATCTGGTGTTTGTTTGAAAAGAGGTCTCATGTAGCCCAGGCTGATTTGAAACTTCTCCTGAAGCTGAGGATTTGAATTTATAATCCTCCTGCCTCCCGTAAAGTGATGGGATTTCAAGTTTGACTACCCTGGTTTATATAGCTGGGGACCAAACCCAGAACGCCATGCGTGCTAGGCACGAACTCTCCTGAGCTGAGCCTCTTCCCAGCCTCCACCCCTGAACTGTCATATGTATTATATTGGTAAGATGTCAGGTGCTGTTTATACTTGTTGAAACATGATCTTTTTTTTTTAGATTTATATATTTTACATTTGTGAATGTTTTGCCTGCATGAATGTATGTGTATCATGTGTGTGATTGGTTTCTGTAGAAGGCACAAGCTGTGGGATCCCAGAACTGGAGTTAGCATGTGGGTACTGGGCACTGATCCTGAGACCTTTATGAGAGCAACAAGTATTCTTAACCCTGAAGCCATCTCTCCAGTGCCAAAAACGGACTCAAATGTGCTTTGAGACTCTGTCCTAGGTCAGGCTGGCTCCCTGGCCCTGCAGAGGGAAGATGGAAAATATAAACAGTGATAATAAAAAACGTTAACCTGGTGTCCAGATGTGGAGTGTAAGGCCACTTGCTGCTGGGTCTGGTGACTAGAGGTCCATCAGGAACTCACATGGTAGAGAACTAATGGCCAAAAGTTGCCTTTTAACCTCCACAAGTACACCGTGGCATGCCAGCCTGACTGTGTGGTTACACACAGATATACAGATATATTCTCTCCCTCCCTCCCTCCCTCCCTCCCTCCCTCCCTCCCTCCTTCCCTCCCTCAACCCCCTCCCCCCGTGTGTGTGTGTGTGTGTGTGTGTGTGTGTGTGTATGCATATATTACATATGTGTGTGTTATCTACTGTCTGGTAGCTCCTGAGTTCAGATGAAGGTACCAGATCCTCTGGTTGTTAGCAATCATAGGCATGCTGGGAACCGAACCCTGGTCCCCTGCAAGAGCAACAAATGCTCTTACCCATCTCTCCAACCCCAAATATATATGTAATTTTTAGGGTTTTTTTTTCTCCTCAAGATAAGGTTTCTCTGCATAGCTCTGGCTTTCCTGGAACTCATTTTGTAGAGCAAGCTGGCTTCAAATTCAGAGAGCTACCTATTTTGGCCTCCCAAGTGCTGGGATTAAAAGCATGTACCACCCCTCATGGCTTATGTATAATTTTTAAAGATTAAGCATAAAAGCCTGGCATGATGGCTCATGCCTTTAAGCTGGGCATTTGATTTTTGTGAGCTTAAGGCCAGCTGGTCTAGAGAAGACCCTGCTCAAAAAAAAACAAAATAAATAATCCAAAATTGAAAAAATTGCCGTCAAGAAACGTTGGTAAAGTCAGAAGGATGCCTGTTCAGTAGCCAGACATGGTGGATATGCCTACAATGACATTCTCAGGAGACTGAGGCAGGAGGATAAGTCTGTACAACACCTAGATTTGTCTACCCTCCTTCAGGATGCGAGCAAGCAAACTGGTGACCGCTGTCCACGCGAGGGCGCAAGAAAGCCTTAGGCTTCTTAGCTAAAATTATATCTCCTAGAACGGGCAAACAGAAACATTGGTTGATGCTGGAGCGCCGGACTGACTTCCAAGCGCAAAGGCCACTGGGGCTTGTAGTCCAGGCTGAGGGCTTCCCGGGGCAACCTAAGGTCTAGTTTCCAGGTCCTGAAAAAGCTTGAAGACTGGGTGCGTTCTTCCTTTCTCCGTCGCCATGGTGATGGTGCGGGCGACAGCCCGGGATTTGGCAGCGGCAGGGCCCCCTTCCCACTCCCTCCTCCTCACCATCTGCTCCTCCCTCACACCTGGCCACGAGCCGCGGACGCCTCCTCCGCACGCAGTCCGGGACTCCACGGCCACCAGGTGGCGCGTCTGCGCGGCTTAGCCTGGTGCCCTCCTCCCCGGGGACTTGTCAATCAGAGTCACAGCTGAGACCTTCCGCGCCCGCCCGCTGCTCGATCGGCTTCGCTGGTCCCCTCCTGGGCCGCATCATGAAAATTTAATCTCAAATGCATTTGTAGCCTGACACGGAGTGGGGAGAGATAGTGGGGAAACCAACACCCTGCTAAGGCCTAGAACTTGAGGTGCACTGGGAGGAGCGTTGGCTTGGAGCACTTCAGGACCACTTTAGAGTTGGGGTTATCCCCAAAGGATGAGAGTGGAATTTACGGCTGGAGAGAGGACTTAGTGGGTGGGGACAGATCGTGGAGCCCGAGTGGAAGTCACCACTGGGACCCATGGAGGTAGGAGACAGACTCAAGGGGAGGAGCCAGGCCCCAGGAGCCACAGACAACATAGACAGGAAGTATGCAGGAATAGAGGGACATATTTGGGAGGTGGGGATAGAACTCAGAGGGAGGAGACATGACTCAGTTGATGGGGCCCAGACTCAAAAGAGTATCATAGTTCAGGGAGCCTGACATACTCTTGGGAAGTGAGGAGGAAACCGTGGGGCACGAAGGGCAGTCATGGTGAACCTAGTTGTAGCTAGCAGAGTTCAAAAGGACGAAAGGAGAGGGAGTTGAAACTCAGGGAGAGAAAGATGGAGTGCAGATAAAAAAGTAGAACCCAAGGGGAAAAGTGGAATCTGAAAAGTGAGAAAGCCAATCCAGTGGCAGAGCCTGTAACCCCAGCTCTTCATAAAGGGCAGCCTGAGCTACATAGCAAGGGCTGGGGATGCAGCTTGGTGGACTACTTGGTATGTGTGGGGTTCTGGGTCCCATCCCCAGTATGGCCAAAAAAGGAAAGGGGGGCTGGAGAGATGGCTCAGCGCTAATAGGCTGCCCTTCCAGAGGACCTGGGTTCAGTTCCAGACACCCACATGGCAGGTCACATCTCCAGTTCCAGAGGATCTCATCTCATGCCATCTTCAGGCCTCCAATGCCACTAGGCATACGAATATTACACAGATATATAATTTGCTAGGAAAAAATACATACCTAAATTAAACTTTTAAAAATAGCCGTGGTTTCTCTCTCTCTCTCTCTCTCTCTTTCTCTTTCTTTCTTTCTTTCTTTCTTTCTTTCTTTCTTTCTTTCTTTCTTTCTTTCTTTCTTTTTGAGACAGTTTCTCTGTGAAGCTCTCTCTGTCCTGGAAGTCGCTGTATAGACCAGCCTGGCCTTTGAATTCACAGAGATCTGTTAGCCTGCCTCCTGAATGCTGGAATTAAAGGTATGCGGCGCTCAAAAAAAATTTTAAGAAAAAGGGAGAACAAGAGAGAGAGAAAGCCAAAGGTCGGATGAGGAAGAGAGCTCAGCAGCGGAGAGATCTGGAAAGGAGAAACTCAAAGAGCTTTGGATAGGCAGAGTATCTGAGGAGTGTATTATAGCGGGGAGTGAGGCAATTCGGAGTTCAAACCCAGGGACGTGGCCTTGAGGTGGACAGGTGGAGACTTTAGGATGGGCGAGCTGAAAGAGAGGTCTAGCCTGCAAGACAAGACACATTGCGGACTGGCTTAGCATCTCCAGGTAGCCTGTTGGAGGGAGAGGGCGGGTCCTTCCTTCGAGGGGTGGGGCCTCGTTGGGTGGGCGTGGATGCCCCGCCCCGCCCCGACGCTGAGTCCGCTACAGCCCTGGGCAGCGGGCACTCGCAGCCTGGTTCCCCCCGAGCGGAGCTGCGGGGCCGGGCCGGGCCGGGGCGGACCCCGGGATCCCGGACGCGGCCGCCCGGGCCCGCGGGCGGGGGGATTGGCAGGGGACCCGCGTGGGCACAGCCACCATGGAGTTCCGGCAGGAGGAGTTTCGGAAGCTGGCGGGGCGCGCCCTGGGGAGGCTGCACCGGTGAGCCTGGTGGGGTTCCTGGGATGGTAAGGATGAGGATGCCCCCTTTCCATCCGAAAGCAACGGACAGAGAGGGAGAAGAGAGGCAACACCCAGGCACGGAGTGGGGAGGCCCACCCATTTGCTCAGGATTCCGTCCTGTTAATGCTGTCCTTCCACCCTGCTTAGTTCATCATCGTTCCCCCTCCCCCCCGCCCCGCCTCCGCACCTCACCCTACCTTGGGCTCGATTTTTCTTTGGGATTGTGTATCCCTCCCTATTCTCTGGATCTCTGTCCACCTGTCTTCTACTTTAGATGTCTCTCTCTGGGTCCTTTTTCCCACTGGATGTCTGTCCCGTCTCTCTGATTAGGAGCCAATGCGGGCGCCCACTGGCTGTCCATTAGTACTGACTCTGACTCTTGCATCCCTTTGCCTCTCTTCTTCTTCCCTGAACCTCTGGTCCCCACTTTGATCTCTCTCTCTCAGCATCTCTGACTGTTCGCTTCTGTCTTCCCACCCTGGCTCTCTCCATCTCGCCTCGTTCTCAGGTTCTGTTCCTCGAGGCATTTAATCTGGAGCTAAAGCGGATTGGGGCTGTTGGTTCTTGTCCTTGAGGGGGGTTAAGCTGGGAGGGAAAAACTGGGGTATTGTAGGTTCCGGGGTGAGGGGGATGAAGGGAGTTTCAGGCCACAAAACCAAATTAATCTTGGGGGTAATATGGACTTCCCAAGAGATATAAGCTGGAACTGGGCAAGATTTGCTCCCACCGAAGGCCATGATTCCAGTGACCCCAGTGTCCCTTGAGGTATCCTGGACACCTCCCAGCCTCTCACCCCCAACCCCAGCTCTGGCTCCAAGTCAGAGAAATTACTCAGCTCTTGAGAAGCCTAAAAATATCTATCCACAGTGCGGGAGGAGATGGCCTCGTGGGCATGGTGCCCTCAGACCCTGCTTCCTCCACACAGGGCTCCAGGCCACTGTTACATGTTCCTCAGTCCATCTTACTGGACCAGAGTCTAAAGCTAGTGTGATAGTCCAGCTGTAGCTCACCTCCTAGATGCAAAGTTAACCCCACCCTCTAGTAACATGAGAGGGATGAGGGGAGACGAGGAAGGAAGGAAGGAAGGAAGGAAGGAAGGAAGGAAGGAAGGAAGGAAGGAAGGAAGGAGCAATGTGTGTATATGGCAGTGGGGGGTGTGTGGAGGGGGAGCTGAGACAGTCACCTCTTCATTTTCCAATTCCCAGCCCCTCCCCACCCTTTTTTCTCACTTCCTTTCACGAGTGTCTCAAAATACACCAGTGTGAAGTCAGGGGAGCTAGAGAAAGATGTGCTGGTGGAGGGGGCTGGGGGTGACAGCAGGAGGCAGGTGTTCCTCAGGCCCCCTCCCTTAGCCTCTCCATCTCCCCTCTGGGTCTCCAGTCTCTCCTTCTCTTTCTGAACTCAGAGACCCCAGAGGCAGTAGAAGCAGCAGAAAGTTGGGGAGGGGGGCAAGCATTTATTTGCAAACGAAATCCAGAGTTTACTTTGACAGTGGGGGTATTAATGTCACACTGGTCATTCTCCTTCCCAAGCCTCAAACAAGAGCTAAGAGCTATGGATGTTCTTGGAGATGAGTGTGCAGCTGGCTTGGGAGTTGGGGAGGGGGGTTCTTTTGGACCAGATAACCCAGGGTGACTTTGGACAAAGTAGAGAAGCCAGGAGCCAGGGGTTCTTGCTTGTTACAGCCAGGCTCTGGGCAGGGCATTGCTGGAGGCCTGGAATGGATCAGGCCCACAGAAGGAGTGTGACCTTGGACCTGTGAGATCTGTTTTTGGAGTCTTAGTTTCCTAGTTCTACAGTAGGAGACAAACTGCCGAAGGCACAGGAAGACACAGATGGATACCCAGGGAGCAGTTGAGGCATGGTCTTCCTTGGGGAATCTCTACCCTAACCCAAGGGGCAAATTCCCTCACAAATCCTTGGCCTAGTTGGGGTCATCCAGAGAGGAGATGGGGGTCTTCTGGGACTCTTGTTATTTGAGACAAGGTACCCTGCAGCCCAGGCTGGCCTTGAGCTCCTGATCATCTTGCCCCCATCTCCAAAATAGTAGGATTACAGGCTCACACCACTGGGCCATACTTGAACTTCCCTGTGTAATGACTATTAAAAAAAAACTAGTATGATACTCAAAATCCTTAGAGAAATCTGACATCAAATATAAGCAACAAATATCAAAATTCAGGGGTTACACTCATGAAACCTATAGTTTCAGAGTCAGTCAAATATCAGCAATCAACCCTGGATCAAACTCCAGTTTCACTGGCTAATGCTCTATGGAGGTGAGCAGGTGGGTCCTTCATCCCTGTGTGATTTACCCTGGGGTCTTTGATTTCCAGCGCCTGGGGTGTGTTCCCTCTACATTTCTTCTTTCTCTCGGTTACTGTCTGTTCCCTCTCTACTTCTACCCTCAGGACCCTCTCCTTTTTTTGAGACAGGCTCTGGCTGAGTAGACCTGGCTGGCCTAGAACTCACAGAGATCCTGCCTCCCCCTTAAAGTGCTATGGTTAAAGGAGAGCACCACCATATGGCTTGTTTTGTTTCATTGAGACAGTCTGGTGTAGCCCAGGCTGGCTTCAAATTCACTCTATAGCCAAGATGGCCTTGAGCTCCTGGTCCTCCTGGCTCTGCTGTGATTACAGATGTGTGCTGATATTCCTGGTTTCTGTAGTGTTGGGGTGGGAACTCAGACCTTCCGACATGCTAGGCAAACACTGTGCCAACTGGGTCACATCTCTGCCCTCCCTCATTCGTCTCATTCTGTGGCCCAGTCTGGTCTTGAAATTGCAGCAATCCTCCTGCCTCAGCCTCCCTGGGTAGCTTTAGATGTCCTGGAATTCTCTCTGTAGACCAGGCTGGCCTCGAACTCAGAGATCCACCTGCCTCTGCCTCCCAGAGTGCTGGGATCAAAGGGTGTGCCACCACCATCACCGCCAGACTCCACCCCATTTCTTTCCTGCCTCTCCCCACCTCCTTAAGTCTCAGTATGGGGCTGTCGGCTGTGTTCTTTGGTCCTCCCCCTCCCCCAGCCCGTCTGGCTGTTCTCTCCTCCCCCGTCCCCATCTCCCTCGCCTCCATCTGTTCTCGCCCCTTTCTGGGAGCCAGCCCGATCCCCTGCCTGCCTACCCGCCTCAGAGGGGCCACACTGAACACTAAATGTCCTCACACTTCAGGCACTTCATGGCCTCAGATCATTTGTCCTCGCTGTGTCCTCATCTCCCCATTTTCTAGCATCAGATGTGCTCTCCTCCTGGCACAGCTGTGTCTCTTACTGCCTGTCTGTCAGTTCCTACGTTCTCGCCCCCGAGTCTCTGTCTCCCTTTTTCTCATTCTCTGACCCTCTCTCCCTAGGTCTCTGTCACCTTCCCACTCTGGGTTTCTTACTCTTTGGGTCACTATCTGGCTACTCCCCAGGGTTCTGCCCCACTCTCCACAGCTCTTTGTCTTTCATCGCTGCAATGCCCGGTCTGTCTGGTCTACTCCTGTCTCCAGGTCAGGCTCTCCTGTCTCCAGCAGCCTCTCTCTGGCTGGGAGGCAGCCCCTCCATGAGCCCTATCCATAATCACAGACTCAATCCTGGATGCAGATCGGGCGGAGGCGAGAGTCACGCTGGGGAATGAATGCGCCAGTCTCCCTACCAGGGCCATCTGTCCCTTGCCAGGACACCAGCTATCACTCCCCCTCCCTGCCCTCTAGGCTGACAGTCTGAACTCCAGATTCTCTAGGGATGGATACTTAAGCGGGACTGCTGGATTCGGCACCTCACGAGGGAGTCCCCCAAACCGCATCTGTGGGAATGGGCTTCAGGCAGCGTTAGCTGGACTGCAGCCCCACATCTGGGGCTTGGAAGCAGGGCAGGGCAACCGCAGGGGGAGATGGAAGGGGGAGGGGTCGATATATATAGCCGAGATGGCTCGGAAGCATCTGCTCTGTTGACACCTTTGCGCAGGGCTCTCCTTTGTACCTTTGCTGACTCAAATAGACTCGGATCTGCATCTGCTGGAGGGGGCTGGGGACAGTCTTGGAGCTTTGCGGTGGGGGCTTGCAGGCACCTGCTCTTTGATTCCAAAGGGTTGTATAGAATTTGTAACTCCCTAGTGGAGAGAGATGAGAGAGGGCTGGGGAGAAGTCGACTGAAGATCTTGACCCCAGAGTTGAGGCAGGAGAGCGCTGGTGGCAGGAGAGAGCCGGTGGCCTGGACTCCAGGAACTGGAAGGAATTCGGACTCAGATTCTGGGTCTGGCAAAAGACGTGGGTTTTGCCATGCACTCCTGTGTCACGGGGAGGAGAGGGAACTCTGAGTTCTCCGACAGAGGGAGGGAAACACAGGTACAGAGATGCCTGCATCATAGTGAGGGCAACCAAGCAAGGTTAAGCCTAGGACCCCTGTGTCACCGGGAGGAGGGGCCTAGACTGCTGAGTCTTTGCTTCTCGCTTCCCTGAAGGTTACTGGAGAAGCGGCAGGAAGGTGCGGAGACATTGGAGCTGAGCGCCGACGGGCGCCCAGTGACCACGCACACGCGGGACCCGCCTGTGGTGGACTGCACCTGCTTTGGCCTCCCTCGCCGCTATATCATCGCCATCATGAGTGGTCTGGGTTTTTGCATAAGCTTTGGCATTCGCTGCAACCTGGGCGTGGCCATCGTGTCCATGGTCAACAACAGCACAACCCACCGCGGGGGCCACGTGGTGGTGCAGGTAACTGCTTTGGCGAGCCCTGCTCACTGCCCTTGGTGCAGGTCGCACTCCTTCCCAGTTACTACCCTTTGGCCTTGCTCTTCCATGCCTCCCTACAGATCTGACCCCACTCCCGGCTCCTGGCTTCCTCAGCTCCTGCCCTTATGTAAAGGAAGCTCTACCCAGATTGCAAAACCAAAACCGACAACACTAGCATTAGGTTTCCTACTTATGGCCCCTTTCGGACGTTCTAGCCCTTTCACTTATGGCTGTGCCCCAAGTTTATGTTCCCGGATCACTCTTCAATAATTTCACTGCTATCTCAAGCTCTTTTCCCAGTTCACCTTTACCTATGTCCGCCTGACTAGTTCTGGCCCACACCTAAAGCCTCGGCCAAGCTCAGATTTATGTTATTTCAACTTGGATATTATACAAGCTATGTCCTTGAATGAGAAAAAAAAAATCTTGGTTTGGTCTGTGGCTTACCCGAAACCCTGTCCTTTGCTCCACTGTAATTGGAAACACCCCTAATTTAGCTGCTTCTTGGCCTTGCCTAGACCCCATACAGGTCTGTCCACAAACAGGAGGCAGTCACCCCCACACTTGGGGATATTCAGGGAGGGGATACTGAGGTAAGCAAGCAAGTAGAACCAAGCTTCTAGGCAGCAGCACCTATATCTAAAGTGGTAGGGCAGGCGCTAGCGACATAGAAGGGCAGAGCTCCACTGAGCTGTGATTGGTAGATTTGGGCAGAAGGTGGGGCATCTTGTTGCTGATTGGCTGAGGTGCTGAGTCTATGGGTGCTGATTGGTGGAGGGTAGAATCTGGAGGACATCTAGTTTGATGTGTATTTTGATCAACAGAAAGCCCAGTTCAACTGGGACCCAGAGACTGTCGGCCTCATACATGGCTCCTTTTTCTGGGGCTACATTGTCACTCAGATTCCTGGAGGATTTATCTGCCAAAAATTCGCAGCCAACAGGTACAGTGGTGGTGTCTCAAGGTGTCAGAAATCGCAGTTGTGTGTGGTGGAGCGAGAGGATGCGGTCTTGGGTTTGGCTCTGGGAAATTGGGAGGGTCCTTTTTTGAGGACAGCCTAGTTCTGTGAAACACAGGACCTGCTGTGGGCAGGAAGTGGAAAATCCTAGGAGCAGTGGGAAGGCTGGATGGCTAGTGGCAGACAAGCACCTCACTATATCTGGCATGGCTAGACTCTTTTTCCCCCCACCTTTCTCAACAGGGTCTTTGGCTTTGCCATTGTGGCTACCTCCACCCTAAACATGTTGATCCCTTCAGCAGCCCGTGTTCACTATGGCTGTGTCATCTTCGTGAGGATCCTTCAGGGATTGGTGGAGGTAAAACGTGTCCCATAAGCCCTGTTCCCCTCTCTGACTCCACCTCTCCTTGTTGACCTCGGTGCTCCCTCCCTAGGGGGTCACATACCCTGCTTGCCACGGGATCTGGAGCAAATGGGCCCCTCCCCTAGAACGGAGCCGGCTGGCGACAACAGCCTTTTGCGGTGAGAGGGGGACCAGCTCTTGTGTGAAGGGGACTGAGCTCTGATCTCAACTTAGGTGTGGCAGAGATTTCAGGGATGAGGGGCTGCTCTCCCAGATCTAGGAAAGACCTGGGTCTAGGTCTGTTCTCTACTTTCATTGCCTCCTCAGGTTCCTATGCTGGGGCAGTGGTTGCCATGCCCCTGGCTGGGGTCCTGGTGCAGTACTCAGGATGGAGTTCTGTCTTCTATGTCTATGGTGAGGGACTCAGATGCATGGTTCTGGGTGGCACTGGGGCTGACTGAGCAAGTCCGGATGTTACCATACACCCATCTCCCTCCTGACCCCCCCTTAGGCAGCTTCGGGATCTTTTGGTACTTGTTCTGGTTGCTTGTCTCCTACGAGTCACCTGCACTGCACCCCAGCATCTCCGAGGAGGAGCGCAAATACATCGAGGATGCCATCGGAGAAAGCGCTAAGCTCATGAACCCTGTTACGGTTGGTCATGGGAGTACACGACTGGGACATGGTGTGTATGTGTGTGTGTGTGCGTGTGTGTGCGTGTGTGTTGGCTCAAACCTGTGCAAAGACTCAGAGAAGATAGAACTGCTAAGCAAAAGGCTGGGGACAAATGTGGCAGAGGCAGTAGGATTGCAAGTTCGAAAATGCAGGCTATAAAATGAGTTCAAGGCCGGGCTATGCGTTTACTGAAGCTTTGTTTCAAAATTGAAAACTAGGTTAGAGGTTTAGCTCAGTGGTAGATCATTTGCCCAGAATCCCTTAGTAAGGGGCTGCAGGTGTTTCACAATGAAAGGGTGCCTGCCTAGCATGAATTCCTATTAGTAGGGGAAAAAAAAAGAAGGGGAGAAAAAAAGAAAGAAAAGAAAGAAAATAGCGGAGCTAGACTCCATATTAGGTGGGACTGGAGTTTAGGAACAGCAGGTACTAGGTGGGTGATGTGGAGCCTCCCAGGAGGCCTGGTTGAAAACAGCAGAGGGTAAAGAATGTGAAGTTTTGCTAGATATTGCTGTGGGTGTGGCTAGATATTGCTGTGGGTGTGGCTAGACTTTGAGGGGTGAGTGAATAGACATTTTACTAGGCTCACCATTTATGGGTTATCATGAAACCTGAGGAGCCTCTGGAGATGCAGGACCCATCCTTCATCCTTGCCATGAGACCTTAAGGCTGGATTTTTAGAATTCCTAAGTCCTCAGGAGAAACGAGTGGCTCACTCGCAAGCCCTCTGTGAACTATCTTCGGATCCTGAAAGGGACACAAAGTTCTCAAGCCCTGGTATCTGTCTTAGCATGGTCTGCTCTTCCCTCCCCGCCCCCCACAGAAGTTTAACACACCCTGGAGGCGCTTCTTTACGTCCATGCCTGTCTACGCCATCATCGTCGCCAACTTTTGCCGCAGCTGGACCTTCTACCTGCTCCTCATCTCCCAGCCCGCCTACTTTGAAGAGGTGTTCGGCTTTGAGATCAGCAAGGTGCGGGTGCAGGAGTAGGGGCCTCGGTGGGGGTGAGGGACAGGGTGCCTGCGTGCCAAGGCAGGGATGGATGAGGAGGTGGTGGCTGCCCATTCACCTGCTCTCACAGGTGGGGCTGGTGTCGGCTCTGCCTCACCTTGTCATGACCATCATCGTACCCATCGGAGGCCAGATCGCCGACTTTCTGCGCAGTCGTCATATAATGTCCACGACCAATGTGCGAAAGCTGATGAACTGCGGGGGTGAGTGGGTGGAGTAGAGTACAAAGGGGAGGACTGATGGGTGGGGCAGAGGCGGGGCCAAGGGCGGGGCTGACCAGATCCAACCTGTGTAAGTAAGGGTTTGGAGACCACCATGTGGAAAGGTAGGCAGACTCGGATGGGGTAGAGAAGACCTGAAGGATGGGGCCTTCACGAGGCTATGTGGAAGCAGACTTAAGCCAGGCTGGGAGTGGGGAGGGCCGAGGAGACAGGCTACTGGCCATAACTGAGGTTTTAGGGAAACAGGCCATGGGTGGGGACTTGGGAACATCAGTTCGTGAGTAGGAACCTAGCTAGATCAGCTGAGAGTGTGGTTCAGGAGCGTGGAGACACAGTGAGGTCTTGAGCTTCCTTATGAGAGGTGACTTTTGAGGGTTCAGAGATGGGGTGTTGGGTCTTACTGAGTTGTGTCTAGTCAGAAGATGGGATCACAGTGGACCCTTTTGAGGCAGAGCACCAAAGGGCATGGATTAGGTTGGGTCTTGGGGAAGCAGGACCACTCTAGTTTGGAGGAACCAGGGTCAGGTCTGCTGCGGGTCAGAGGTGACTAGCAGGGGGTCGGAGTGAGGTCGAGACTGCCATTGGTGAGGTGGCCAATGGAGTCACGACGAGCACTTGGGAGACATGACCCTCTTCAGGTTTCGGGATGGAAGCCACACTGCTGCTGGTGGTCGGATACTCACACTCCAAGGGCGTGGCCATCTCCTTCCTGGTCCTGGCTGTGGGCTTCAGTGGCTTTGCCATCTCTGGTGAGAACCCGAGATGGGCAGTTTGGAGTCACCTCAGGCCCTGAAATGGGTTTCTCGGGAATTAGAGAGATGTCTCAGCAGTTAAAACCCTTGCTGCTTTTGCAAAGGATTGGAGTTCGGTTCCCAGCATTTATCACACTTCCAATAACTGCAGCTCTAGTGGATCAGGCTCCCTCTTCTGGACTTTATGGGGACTGCATGCATACGTTGACATCTCTGCCCCTCCCCCCATACACATTAGTAAATATAAATTGTTTTTTGGGGGGCGGTGGGAAGAATGTCCCAGAAGAGCTGGGGATGGGGTGGGTGTAGCACTTCGGTAGGTTGTCTGAGTTGGGGACTTGGTGTGACATCTGCTACCTTGGTAACCCACCAGGGTTTAACGTGAACCACTTGGACATTGCTCCTCGATATGCCAGCATCTTGATGGGCATTTCCAACGGCGTAGGCACACTGTCGGGGATGGTGTGCCCCATCATCGTGGGCGCAATGACAAAGCACAAGGTTAGCACAGCCCTCCCAGAAAATGCCTGGAACCTTCTAGATACCCAATGTTCCCCCTCTCTTCCTCCCTCCATCCCTCCCTTCCTTCCTTCCTTCCTTCCTTCCTTCCTTAAAAAAAAATTATTTATTTATTTATTATGTATACAGCGTTCTGCCTGTATTTATGCCTGCGCGCCAGAAGAGGGCACCAGACCTCATTACAGATGGTTGTGAGCCACCATGTGGTTGCTGGGGATTGAACTCAGGTCCTCTGGCAGAGCAGCCAGAGCTCTTAACCTCTGAGCCATCTCTCCAGCCCCTCTTTCCTTTCTTTTATCTCTCCCCCCTCTTTTTTTCTTTTGAGATAGGGTTTCTCTGTGTAGCCCTGGCTGTCCTGGAACTTGCTCTGTAGACCAGGCTGGCCTTGAACTCAAGAGATTTTTTTTTAGCTCTTAAAGAAAATCTAAGCCGGGCAGTGGTAGCGCACGCCTTTAATCTCAGCACTTGGGAGGCAGAGGCAGGTGGATTTCTGAGTTCGAGGCCAGCCTGGTCTACAGAGTGAGTTCCAGGACAGTCAGGGTTACAAGAGAAACCCTGTCTCGAAAAACCAAAAAAAAAACCAAAAAAAAACCAAAAAAAAAAACAAAAAAAAAAAACAAAAAAAACCCTATTTTAATTAATTAATTATTTTTTATTAACTTAATGTGACTGAGCTGATTTGTGGCATGGAATGTGTGTAGAAGTCAGGGGACACTGTTGGTTTCCTCTTTCCATCTTTGGGTCCCGGGGTTAGAGCTCTGGTCATACTGTTGGCATCACTGTACCTGCTGAGTCGTCTAACCAACCCCCCCCTTTTTTGTTTTTTGTTTTTTTTTTTGGTCAGAGTCTTACTCTGTAGACTGGGCTGGCCCTGAACTGACAGAGATTCACCTGCCTCTGCTTCCTAGCCTCTTATGTTCATATGCATGTGAGTACTGAGCCCACAGAGGCCACAGAGCTGCCTGGTTTGGATGCTGGGAACCGAACCTGGGTCTTGTGCAAAAGCAAGCAATAAGATCTCTTAAGCTCTGAGCCATCTTTCAGTCCCCAATTTGTGTATTTTTAAAGACATGTAGCCCATGTTGGCTAAGCTCCTGTGTCACCCTGCAGAGTCCCTGAACTGATAGATGCGCAGCCATCGGTCTCTGACCTTCTGCCTTGTCTGCCCCTCAGACGCGGGAGGAGTGGCAGTACGTGTTTCTCATAGCCTCCCTGGTGCACTATGGAGGTGTCATCTTCTATGGAGTCTTTGCTTCGGGAGAGAAGCAGCCGTGGGCAGAGCCGGAGGAGATGAGCGAAGAGAAGTGTGGCTTTGTTGGCCACGACCAGCTGGCTGGCAGTGACGAAAGTGAAATGGAAGACGAGGCTGAGCCGCCGGGGGCACCGCCCGCGCCCCCTCCTTCCTACGGGGCCACACACAGCACAGTTCAGCCTCCGAGGCCCCCACCCCCTGTCCGGGACTACTGACCACGTGCCTCCCACTGTTGGGCAGTTTCCAGGACCTCCACTCGATACACCTCCAGCCTGAGCTGCCGTGTCGAGGAGCCCCACTCCTCTCCTGCCTCAGGCTTAAGATGCAACTCTTCCCTTGTTCCCAGTGCTGTCCGACCAGCCCTCTTTCCTTCTCAACTGCCTCTTGCGGAGGGTGAAGCTGCACACTAGTAGTTTCAAGGATACCCAAACACCCCTGAAAGTTGTTCTCCGCTTGTTCTGCCTGTGTGGTTTCAAATCTTCCCTTTCAGAGCTTTATTTGGATGGACAGTTCAACCTCTTTCTCTCTTGTGGTTTTGAGGTTTCACCCCTTTTCCCAAGACCCCAGGGATTCTCAGGCTACCCCGAGGTTATTCAGGTGGTCCCCTACTCAGAAAACTTCATGGTAGTCCTCTGTTAGTTCCAAGGCTCGTGTAACCATTCTGCATTTTCCAAGTTGGTTTAACCAACCATCAATGCCGCCATTCCCAGGACTGATTCTCACCAGCGTTTCTGAGGGAAAATGGCTGTTTCAAGTGTCCCCCCCCCCCCCACTCTTTTCTTCCCTCGTCCCCTTACCAGCACACTTTACCGGGCCTTGTCCTTAGCTTAGTACAATCAGTGTCCAGGGAAATGGCCAAAATGGCTACGCTCACCCTGTGCTCTTTTTCTGACTCAGTTTTCAGGTCTCAGTAGTGGCTGCTCAAAGCTATTAATTGGTGGTTCGAGGCCACCTCTTCCTTCCTGTGGTGGTTTCAGGACCTCCCTTTCTTCCCCAAATCCTTGCACTTTATTCTCCTGGGTGGTTCCAGACTGCCCCCAGTTTCTCAGTGGCCATTTGTTGTGTCCCTCAGGGGCTAAACGATTCCAAATCTGGGGTGCTTCCCCTCATAGACACCCCTCTTTTAACGTAGAAATCTGGGGAGGGGGGAGTATGTGAGAGAAGTTACAGAATCCCAGGAAAGGGAGCGGGGCTGGGAGAAGAGGGTTGTTCCTGGGGCAGGGTCGTGTCTTGGTGTCTGTCTCTGTGACGTAAATCCTGCCCTGCCCCACCCCACTCCCAATAAACGCTTTGGTGTACAGATGAGGCTGTCACGTGATGCGGTCCCACGCGCCCTCGTCCTCCCTCGGACCCAGGTGTGCAGACCCCAGTCTTTTCCTTCTGTCTGCGCTCGAGCCCCCAGTTTCCCCGCTTGCTTTAGTCTGGCCCCCCGGCCCCCGCCACCGCCCGACCTGGACCTCAGTTTCTGCTCCCGGCTCCCCTCTGCCCCTCGGCCAAGCACTCAGGCACAGCTTCCAGTGGGCGAGGCGGTTTATTGGGAAGTTCTGCCTGGCTCTGTGGTCCCTCTAGGTGTCGAAGCTGGCCCGGTTCTGTGTCGCGGTCCTCAGACGAAGTTGGGGGACAGCGCGGCGGGTGACAGGGCTTCCAGGCGCTGCGGCCCGCGAGGCGGAGGGGGCAGCTTGGGCGGCAGCGGGGGCGTGGGAGGCGGCTGGTGCGTGGCGATGTGCGAGGGCACCCACGCATCGGAGGCATAGAAGTAGAGATCCAGCGGGTCCTTCGGGGCATTCAGGTGCAAGACTGCAAGGGCGAGGGACGTCAGGTGGCTGGCCGATGGGAGGGCGGGGTGGTGGTGGCGGTGGGGCGAGCCTCGATTTGGTGGGTGGTACAGAATCAAGCGGGGCTTGACTGAGCAGAGGGTGTGTAGGTGTAGGGGTGGGAATTTAGGCTCAGAGAGGGTGTGAAGTGTGTGCGCGTGCATGTGCGTGTGTGTGTGTGTGTGTGTGTGTGTGTGTGTCTTGGGAATCTGAGCTACACAGTGAGATTCTCAGAGGAGTAGTAGGAGGAAGAGGAATAATTTCAGATGTAACAGGCTGGGACCAGACCATGGTTGGGTCGAATCTTATTCTTACCTAGGACAAGAGTCTGTGTTCTTTAGAAGGGAGTTCTAAGTCCCCTGTAAGGCCTGGATAAGGTCTTTCTCGGGTGAGCAAGCACTCACCTGGTTCATCTCCGCTGTCCTGGAGCCGGTGGTGTGCAAAGGACCTGTGTCTGGAGGCCCGGCGGTAGAGGCACCACAGCAGGAGGAAGATGCCAATCAGCATCCCTGTCACCGCGAAGAACAGGCACAGAGCCCCCCCGACGGAGCCGCGTGGGCGGCTGACCAGAGTCACCCCTGAGGGATGACACATTCATCTAAGCTGAGGGCTTCCTCCCTCAAACACAGGGGTCCAGACCCATCCCTCCTCCCTCAGACCCAGGAGCCCCAGCCCCATTCCCTCAGACCGAGGGCTCCAGTCTGAGCCCTCAGGCCTCTCACCGGTTTCCTTCACTCTCTCCACCACGATGATAGTATCGACTGTGTCTCCTCGGCTGTGTCTCTGAGGAGCCTGAGGCACGGCAGGGGCTACCTGATTGGGGTGCTCTAGAGGAGCAGGGGGCCCTGCAATCCGTGCCGAGGGAAGAGGGATATCTGGCCCTTTAGGGCCTGGGTTCTGGGGTACATGTAGCTCTTTGGTCCCTAGGGAATCTGAGGTGGACAGGCCAGGAGTGGCAGCTTGGGTGGCTGCAGGGGCTTCTGGACTGGGACTCAGGCCTGGCTTACTAGGAGTGGTGGCTTCCTCTCTGAAGGTTGTTGGTTGGGTAGGAAGACTAGAGGTGGTTCCCAAGTCAGAGGTCATAGCTATTTCTGTTACACTTTGATTGGGAGGTGTGGGGAATTGTGTTTGGGGGACGTCAGTGAGATTGGAGTTGTGGGTAGTGAGAAAGGCTGACTGTGGACTTTCTGTAGGGTGGGTGGTTGGTAGTAAGGCAGAATTGAGGTTCCTGGTGGCACCAGAGTCATAGGTCTCCAGGAATTTGGAGCTGAGGAATTGGGTGGGACTAGGACTTTGTATCTTAGGCCCTTCACCAGGTGAAAGTTTGGGGATGTCTCCTTTGAAGAGTTCAGGGGATTTATGGTGTAGAGTTGGCATGAGGTCAGTGTGTGCAGTCTCAGGAGACTCTGAGAATGAGGTGTTGGAGGGATTAGGTTTTGGGGTTTCAGGAGATTCAGATGGGGGAATTCCAGTTGTGTCAGGTATGGGGGTCTCAGAAGGTTTAGCAAGTGTTGGTTTGGAGGGGCTCATTTGTGAAGTACCCTGGGATTCTGCTATTGAGGTGAGCTGGTCAGGCGTGGGAGTCTCTAGAGAAAGGGAAAGGCTGGGGCTGGGGGTCTCCCTTAAGTTTTTTATGGAAATGTGAGGGGAAGCTGAGGGCGGGGTCCTGGGGTGCTCAGGAGGATTGGTTGCAGGGTATCCTGGGGTAGGTTGATCTCTAGTAAAATTTTCTGGAGTACCAGTAGGCATTCCAGAGGGCTGAAGCGTCCCCTGGAGATCAGAGGCCGGAGGCAGAGAGGCTGCGAGAGCAGCCCTGGAACTCAGACCATCAAGGAGAAAGATGAGGAAGCAGAAGATGAGGCTGAAGGGCTGCATGGCTCTGAGGCGCTTATAGCTGTGGAAGGAGCAGGTAGCAAACAGTCAAGGCCAAAGCATCGGAGCCATGCCCATTCAAGCACCACACCCACTCCCAGAGGCCACACCTATTGGCTCCCAGAAGGACCAGATCCTCCCAGGGACCTTGGCAAAAGCCAACAGCAACTCCCTGGAGGCTGTGGGATGGTAACTGGTCACCAAGGAGTTCAGGGATTCTTGGGAGTGGTAGTGCATTTTCCAGCGGCGTCCCTGAAAAACTGGGACATAATGACACCTTTCCAAGGTCCCACAAATGTTAGATTCCACCTTCAGAGGGTGTCAGATGGTCAAGGCAACATAGGACAACCTTCTCCTAAGGCTCTGAAGAGGCCAGGACTGCAAAGACTTTAACACAGGACGGGGAGGAAGAAAATGAAGAGTTGGGGCCCCAACTCAGCCTGAGGGAGGACAAAGACTCCACAGTCCCGAGAAGCAAACTGTTGGGCTCTGAGTCCCACAGAGTAGAGGGCAAAGGGTCTATGTCTCTGGCTCTTGCCAGAAGTTAGGTTCCTAGAGATTCTGACTACTGGGGCCTACAAGCAGGGCCAAAGGGTTACAGGGGAAAGGTCATGGGATCACTGGACCCTGAGTTAGGTGATGTCTGATGTCTGGATCTTAGAGTTCCAGGTCTTCAAGAAACAGGAATGTAAGGTGTGGACTCCTCAGCCTGATGGGGATGCAGTGGGCTCAGGCCCCTGTTTACAGAGGATGGAGCTAGGGAATCCAGTAACTCCTGCGGTGGACTGGATATGGAGGAGTGAGCTGAGGCGGGGTAGGGTCATCTGGAGTCATGGGGTCTCTTACCTGCTTGGTGGTATCCAAGGCAACAGCAGAAAATCAGCTCTGAACAAAGATAAGCAGGGAGTGCTGCAGAATGGCAATGGCGCTGGAAAGAACAGGCACAGGATCTCAGAGGCACAGAGGTGACAGGTGACGCACCTGGCCTCTTCCCTGGGGCATCCTGAGAGCCTAGCAACAGGCTGAGATTCTTAAAGGGACAGAGACATAGGACCTCATCCATAGGGTAGAAAAGGAAGTTAGGGTTGAACCAAGCTAGTTCTCTTTGCAGCCAAGGTTTGGCCTGGGATGATGGTACAGGCCTGTGATCTCTGCTCTTGGAAGGCAGAGGCAGAGGATTATGAGTTCAAAGCCAGCTTGGGTGACATAGTGAGACCCAGGACAGCCTGAGCTACAGCAACTCTAAAACAAAAATAAAACCCAACCAATCAAATATACACACACAAAACAAACACCAAAAACCCCAAAACTGCCAGGCGGTGGTGGCACACGCCTTTAATCCCAGCACTTGGGAGGCAGAGGCAGGCGGATTTCTGAGTTCGAGAGTTCGAGGCTAGCCTGGTCTACAGAGTTCCAGGACAGCCAGGGCTACACAGAGAAACCCTGTCTCAAAAAAACAAACCAAAAAGAAAAAAAAAAAAAAAAACAAAAAAACCCCCAAAAAACCAAAACTACCAACCCAACAGACAAAATCCAGCTGGGTGGTGCTGGTACTCACTTTTAATTCCAGAACTTGGGAGGCAGAGGCCAGTGGATCTGAGTTCTAGGCCAGTCTGGTCTATAGAGCAAGTTCCAGGACAGCCAGGGCTACACAGAGAAACCCTGTCTCAAAATACAAAGGTCCTATGTCCTCTCCCACTACCCCCTCAAATCTAAGGATCTGAGTCCCTGGTACCTTTCTAATCTCACTAGGCCATTCTGTTCTCTTCAGACTAAAGAATCCAGGCTGCCAAGAGTGGGGGGCCCTGCCTTGACCACCTTTATGTTTGGGATTCCAAGTTTGGTCCCTTATCTCTGTGGAGGTAGGAGTTCAAGCCCCATTCACCTCCCTTGCCCATGATACGGGAGGAGGGTGTCACTCTCTAGTCCCCCCTCCTTTGAGACAGTCTTATTTTTTTAAACTATTATTTATTTATTTATTATATGTGAGTACACTGTAGCTGTCTTCAGACACCCCACAAGAGGGCATCAGATATCATTGCAGATGGTTGTGAGCCACCATGTGGTTGCTGGGGTTTGAACTCAGGACCTGTGGAAGAGCAGTCAGTGCTCTTAACCACTGAGCCATCTCACCACCCCCTGAGACAGTCTTATTATGTAGCATACACAAGCCTCAAATTTGCAGTGATTCTGCAAATTTGAGTGTACGCACCATGGGGTGGCCTTGGGAGCCCCCTTGAAACATGCCAGGTATAAATGGTTGGCCCTAATCTTCACCATGCCCCTGTGTCCCTTGTAGAGGGGAAAGACTCGTCCCAGTGGAAGCCCAGGGCCTCCTGTGTCCCATTTCATGGAGGTGACTTCACCTGTTTGCACACTACCACCTCCTCTGTCTTCTCCTTGGCTCTCTTGATGGGCCTGCCTGTTCTTTCCACATTCTCTCTTCTCAGCCTTTCTCTCTTCCTACATGCTTTCTCCCTTCCTAGGCATCTTGTCTTTGCTCTTCTGTCTGGAGGTTATTTCTTCCCTGTCTTTCTCCCTTGTATCCCTTTGCTCTTTTCCCTGCCTCTCTGCGTCCTCAACTTGTGCTCTGATGGTCCCCCTCTCCAGTCTCTATTTTTATCCCTCTGACACACCCCTTGTGTCCACCTCTCTGTCTGTCTCCCCCCACCTCCCTTTTCAGTACTGGCTCTGGGTCCCAATTAGTTGGTGTTGGCCACGGCAGTGCAGGGCCCCAGCAGGCTTCTCATTACCGCTGGCGGCTCCTAATGAGCGTGGGGTGGAGTGACCCCGCGCCCCCAGCCCGGCCTGCGTCACTGCCGCCGCGGGGGCTGTGAGGGTATATAAAAGGGGAGTGAGCATAGCTGCCCAAGATCTGCACGGTAGGCTGGTGGCGGGGTTGGAGCGTGGGCCCTAGGCTTCTGGGCGGGAGGGTGACATTGAGATCCTGTCCCCTGTGTTCACAGGTGATGGAGACCTGCCAGATGTCCAGGAGTCCCCGAGAGCGGCTGCTGCTGCTTTTGCTGCTGCTACTGCTTGTGCCCTGGGGCACTGGCCCTGCCTCAGGTGTTGCCCTGCCCCTCGCTGGTGTGTTCAGGTAGGTGTGAGGTCCCGGACATCCAAGGAAGGGAGGAGACACCCGCAAGGGAAAGCGAGATACCGCGAGCGGGGGTTGGAGGGCAAGGGTGCTTAGCGTCAGACTGCAGTGGGGCCCCGCGGTGGCCTGTGGGGCCTAGTTCGCAATCACCGCATCTCTCTTCCCGCAGCCTCCGCGCCCCCGGCCGTGCCTGGGTGGACTTGGGTACTCCCCTGTCTCGGCGCAGCCTGGCGCTAGCTGACGACGCGGCCTTTCGGGAGCGCGCGCGCCTGCTGGCCGCCCTGGAGCGCCGCCGCTGGCTGGACTCTTACATGCAGAAACTGTTGCTACTGGACGCGCCCTGAGCCTAATAAAGAGCCTGTCGCACTGCGACTGCGCCTCCTTGCTGCGCCGCTCTCTTATGGGTGTGTGGGGAGGGACCCTCCGCGTCCTCGCTAGTCTCCGCCTTCTCCGAGTTCCCTCTTGGGTTGTCTGTCTCGAGCCTCTGTCCTTTCCGGATTTCCTCGCCGCTCCGTTATCCCTTTCGTTACAGTCGAGGGGTCCCTGATCCAGCTCTGTTTTGGTCCGGTTTTTTTTTTTTTTTTTTTTTTGTGGTGATGGTGGGGGGGGGGTATTTTCCGAGACAGGGTTTCTCTGGCACTCACTCTGTAGACCAGGCTGACCTTGAACTCAAGAGCTTCGCCTGCCTCTGCCTCCCAAGAGCTAGGATTAAAGGCAACCGTCACCACTCTGCTGGGTTGGATTCATAACCTTTTTGGGCCTACTGTTCCTCGGCAAAAGGAGGTCTCCAGCAATCCCGAGCTGGGCCACTGCAGGTGCGGGAGAAGGCGACTAATCACAGCCCGCAGCTCCCGGAGGCCCGGTCCCCACCGACACCTGCCCATTCGGCGAGCCCGCGGAGCAAGCGGACCGCGCCCTGATTGGTCTGCAGAGGAGGGTGGGGTCGAGGAGACCGCCCTCCAAAATTTGCATTTTCTGGAGGCGGACCGAGTTTTCATTGGCTTTTATGCTGTGGGGGCGGAGTTTCCACTTGCTGCTCTTGCTTGGTCTACGCGCAGAAGCAGTTAGCAGGCGGCGCCCACAGGAATCCCGGCTTCCGCTAGGCGATACTTCAGGACTCGAAATCCCGAGTTTTGACGGCTGTCTCCAGCTTTCAGACCACCTTAGAGCTTAGGGTGCGGCCAAAGAGCTTTCTCCAGACCCTTCCTCCGCAGGGCCCTTTTCGGACTACCACCCTCCTCCAGCAGCCCCTTCCACTGTCGGCCAGCTCTGGCCTGTCCTTCCGCATAAGGATCTGCTCAGACCTAGTTCCATCCGCCGCTCCACACATGGCCTGAGTCTTGTTCTCGAGTGTCTGGACCTGCCCTTCTCACCCCCGTCCTGGGCACTGGGAACAGCTTTTGGGCTGGGGCCCCAGGCTGACCTCTGCATCTTTCTCAGAGCCCGCCCTGGCTGCCAGCCTGCCTTTCCTGACTCTCCTTCCCATGGCCGAGCTGTATGGCTGATCGACTCTTCAGCCTTTAATACCCTCCCCCTGCCTACCATATACAAACTAAACTACACCACCTCTCAGAACTGAACGCTGGTGGCGCCTTGGAAAGTTAACAGCTTCAGCTGCAGCCCCAGATAATATTGTGTGCACACGCGTGTGCAGGTGTGTGTGTGTGTTCTCAGGCTGCAGCCACCTTGGTCCAAAGGTTGGAAGAGGCTCCTGGCATTGTAAACCATGGAGCCAGTGTTAACGAGGGAAAACTCTAAGTGAAGCCAAGGGTGCAACAAGATCCTGGCTTGGAGTGCTTATGACCTAGAGACCCCATTCAGAGCAATCTGGCAATCCCAGAGCTCAGAGGCTGCCAGCCAGTGGTCGTGCTTAGCCCTGTGTTTCATGAAGTTGCCACTGAGGAGC